TTATTTATTTATTTTTATCAAGTACAACTTTATAAATAAATAAAAAAAACTTTAAATTGCACTATTATTATATATATATATATATATATATATATATATATATATATATATATATATATATATATATATATATATATATATATATATATATATATATATATATATATATATATATATATATATATATATATATATATATATAAAATATATATATATACATATAAAATATATATATATATATAAAATATATTCATATAAGCACGTGTATGTATATATACATACATATATATGTATGTTTATTTATGTACATATATATGTATGTATATATAGAGTAAAAAAAAAGGTTAAGTATGCGTTACAAATCAACCTTTGTACTTTAAGGTTGTTCTTTATCTCAAGGAAATACAAAAGTAAGAGAAAACAGTTACAAAAAAAAAATTATAATCAAACATAAAAAAAAAAAGATTTATTTTATGTATGATTAGAATTCGTCAAACTTTTAAAAATATATGCTACACAGATTTTTAACACAAGTTTAAAACAAACTATAATAAAAAGATTCAAAAGATTTTTTATTTAAAACTACTTTTAACAAACCTTTGCATCACATGTATTTGTATTTGTCTTAATGGTTTTACCTCCAATTTTAGAAAGTTTGTTAACCTAAAGGTTTAAGAAAATAATTACACCACATTATTTTTATAGTACATTTATAAAAAGATACAAGTAGATTAACTTAGGCTAAGTTATTAATAAATACTTAATCAAAAAACAATAAAAAAAACTGCAAAAAGTCATGGTTTGAAACAACCCATCATTTCTGACCTCACCCAAGAATCATTTAAACTGTTATCATAATCATTAAATTACTGTTGCAAGTTCATCCATAGAATTTCAGAACTATTTGTCATGATATTACTTTAATTACTGGAAAGAGTTTTTACTAACATCTCTTTCTAACAATAAAGATATATCAGAAAGACAAAAGAACTAAACATTAATTAATTTCTAAAAGCGTTGAAACACAAGAACAAAACATTTATAAAATAAAACATTATTCATAAATTAAATAAAATGTATTAATTTAGCAACCAATAAAATGTGTAAATCACTGAAGCATAGAAAAAAATGTTCAAAATCTTTTCTTCCTAAACCAACTTGCAGACAGACAATTAATACCTTGAGCTACAGTATGTGGAGTATGCATAAAATGTGTTTTCTGTTTCTTTTTTTGCGTTACGGGAGTAGGTATTTGCTTACTATTCTCAGAATAGTAAGCAAATACCTACTACTAATATATGTATAATACATATATATATATATATATATATATATATATATATATATACATATAACTGCATCACAAGTTAAGCCATGTATTATTGTTAAATTGTCAAATTCAAAACCTTATAAAAAGGCACCAGATGACCTAATTTATTAGCATGTGTGACTTTACTTGTTTTTATTGGGCTAATAAGTAACTTGTTAAGTCTTTACTTGTTATTTGTTATGTTGATAAAAAAATTTTAAGTCACGCATGCGTATTTTAGTTATCATATTGCAATTACGAACGATCGAACTTGTAATATAGACGTTGAATTAACGTGGAATCAACGTCGATTTTATTTGATAGTTTTAAACATATTTTTCAACGATGATACAACGTTGATTTTTAGTTATACGACGTCGCGACTAAAAATCAACTGTAAATCAACGTCGAAATAACGTCGTGTGCCCACTGGGTAGATGGTCGTAAATTCGATTGAACATTATTTTTTCTAGTATTTTTGAAAAGACTGAAAGAACTGAAATAGGGCGATAATTATTTATGTTTGTATGATCTCCTGTCTTGAAGACAGGAAATACTTTAGCTATTTTTAGACAGTCTGGAAACATTCCTTGACTGATGGATGCTCTAAAGATTTTAAAAATAATGTGTTTTATAACATCACAAAAGTCTATTATAATATTCACATTAATATCATCATACCCAGTTGTTTTATTTCTTTTTAATGAACTAAAGGCAATTTCAAATTCATCATAAGTTAGCTCAGTAAAGTGAAAACTTGATGAAGTTGATGTTTGGAATTCAGCTGATTTATCGTCGGTATACGGAATACTGTTTGCTAGTTTAGTTCCAATTGTTGTAAAAAATTTGTTAAATTCAGCTGCAATATAGTTTGAGTCGTTAATTAGTTTGTTGTCAATTTTTATTTCATGTGGCAGAGAATTTGTATTTGTTTTAAGTTTTCCTGTAATTTCTTTCATTATTTTCCAGATTTGTTTCGAATTATTTTTATTGATCAAGTAGGAGTAGTATTTTTTTTTTGCATTTTTGCGAAGTTTTTCATATAAGTTTTTATAGGTGATATAGTTATTTTTATGTTTTACTGATTTTAATTTTAAATATTTAATATATAGCTTTTGTTTTATTTTCGAGGATTTTTTAAAACCTTTTGTAATCCAGGGACATGATATGTCTTTTGTTTTTACAACTTTCACACATAGGAAAATTTGTATCATAAACTTTATAAAATGTTTTAAAAAAAGTGTTGTAAATTGTGTTTATATTATTATTAAAGTTTAAATGTTCCCAATTTATTAGCAACAAATGTTCTTTGAAGGAGTTTAAACTAATGTTGTTGAACAACCTTTTTTTTATGGTGACACTTTTTTGCATTTCTTTTTTAAAGTCTAGATTTACTGAAAAAAATATAGGAAAATGATCAGATACATCGGTTTTAATTATTCCTTTTTTAAGCGATATATTAAAAAAGTCAGTAGTTAAGATATTATCAATAAAAGTGGATGAATAATTTGTAATTCTTGTTGGTCGATTTATTATTGGTATTGTTCCTGTTTCAAATAAATTGTTGTAAAATTTTCTAGTATTTTGATTTTCGTAATAATCAAAACAATCTAAATTAAAATCGGCAATCAAGTAATTTCTTTTATTTTCGAGATTAGTTTTTTCTAGAATTTTCTTTTGTAAAAAATTGCTGAGGTCTTCAGTTCTTCCAGTTAGAGGCCTTTAACAACAGCTTATTAGCAGGTTTTTTGATTTTTTGTTTATAATTTCAATAGTTAAAATCTCTTTATTTTCATCAGAAACACTCATATCGCGTCTAACATTATACAAAAGACTATTTCAAACTTATTATTAAAGCTTATAGGAGAGATATTGTGATTATTGTGATATTGCGATTGTATTTTTTCTCTTGTAATGTTTAAAATGTAAGTATCAAAAAAGCTTTTACACTTCTTCACAATAAAAAAAGAAAGCTTTGATATAAATACACAAACAATATATACAATCCGAACTCTTGGAATCGGACATTCTGGGGATTCAAAAATTTACAACCTGAATGAACATGCCAAAACCAATGACACAAAAAAACTATGATAAACTTGTTTAGAAAATAGCAAATATTATAGAGGAAGTTGCACAAGAAGCAATGGCTAATGCTGTAGCTGATTTAAGACAACAGTGTTAAAATGATGAGATTTTGGATATTGATGCACCATGTGATGTGTGCACATGGTAGCGTAGGGTATTTTCCTCATGTAATAGTGTCTTTTTTTATCAAACTTATCAAATTTGTCAGTTTGACAGTGCTAATGTATTATGCAGTGGCTAATTTTGACATTGGAATGAAATCATTAATCCTAAATTATGAAAAACCATAACATAATTCCAGGTTTTTATACGGTAAATGGTTTAAATAACATTAACAAAATCTGCATTAAATGGTGGATTTATAGAGGAAAACTGCATAATAAATTGCATCGTCAAAAATTAGGAGCGAAAAAAATAAAGTTGACAAAACTTTAGAAAAAAAAAAAAAAAAAACTTTAGAAAAAGAAAAAATATACTAAAATTTCAACTAGATTTTTATATGAATTATTTGGTGTATTTGTAGATTTTTTAATTTAATTTTTACTTTTTTCGTGTTTTCTCAGTTTGAGGTTTTTCAATCTGCCGGGCGCAATTACTAAATCATATGAGCTTTTTGTCTGAACTTTTTGCCACATCTTCCTTTTAATAAGAGCTGTTAAACGGAGCAGATATATGATATATTAAGGATAAAGTATGGCTGGTTTACCTTTTAAAAAAATCTTTTTTTTGACACAATTTTAGGCGGACAGATGTTCAGACTCAGGTCCTTTTTTTTACAAGTCTGTTCCGTTTAAAACTCAGATACACCTATTATAAATGTGTTACCAAAGTTTTACTTGGCTTTTTTATTAATTTTTTGCTAAAAATTGGCCTAAACAAATCCTTTTTTTGCTCGTTACGGGAGTTTTTTGGGGTTAATGCAACAACTTTTGACCAAAAAAATTTTTTTTTGTTAAATTTACGCTTTTCTTAGATTGTTTGATACTTTACTTCAAAATTTTTTTTGACGTAAAGTATCAAACAATATTGGGAGGATAGGGGGGGGGGAGAGGGAGGGGTGATATCCCTTAAACATTATATTGGTCAAATTACATTTTCATATCTCATTTTGTAAATAAATGATTTTGGTTTAGCTAAAATATCGGTGTATTAGTTTAAATGAAAATTTGCTAAAATTTTGGCTATTAAACAATTTTTGCGCAAATTCAAAATTTTTTATAAAAACCGTCTGCTCTTCAGCCAAAGCAGACGATTTTGTTTTAGACCGTAGATGGAAAATTACAAATAATTGGAATATTTATTATTAAAATAATTTGCCAAAAATTAAGTTTACCTTCCGAGTCATCGACGAATCAGATGACTCGGATGATCAAATAAAATAATGCTGTGACATACTTTACAACTAATAAAATTTGAATTAAGAGTGAATAATTTTTTTGTTTTATATACTTGTTAATAGTATTTACTTTCAAATCATAACACTACCCAGTAATTCATACCTATACGACATATATATTAAAATCAAAATATGCCGTACTCCATAACAGTGCCATAAAGACATCGATTTAAAACCAAAGAGTCTCTGAACAATGAGCCATAAAAGTTGTAGTTTGTAGTAATTTATTTTGGGGTGTAAAACAAAAGGTTTTGTTACACAAAACGTTTTATACAGTGCTTTTACAAATGTTTGTCCTTTTTATCTATAAATTTCCTTTTTATCTATAAATTTGCAATTAGAGATGCATTAAAATTGTCCGTTTGTATTAGAATTGTCTAGTGGAACTGTAGACGAATTTGATAACTTTCTCAGCGTTGATTTTGCATTTTCATCAATTTCAAGATACTTTGAATCATTAAAAACATATTTACTTCTAGAAAATAAATTCGTAACAGTGCGAAAAAGAATATATGGTTTTCTTTCCATTGTCGAAGCGTTTTTTGAAATAATTCTATGCGATCGAAATTTCTGAAGTGAAGGATTCTGCAAAAGGATGACGTAAAGATGCCATCTATTAAGGGCGCGAGTTTTTTGAATATTTTTCACTGTTGAATGAGTTTCGCTTAATGAATAAAGAGAGCCTAAAACAAAATACGTAGATATAATAAATTACGTAGATATAGTAAATAAAATACGTAAATATAATAAATAATGAAAACCTTTACAAAAAATTAAAAATCATTACACAATTTAAATTACATAAATGTTCCAAACTTTTGATTTTGAAAACTAGTTATTAAAACAATAATTCAATGAGCATAAAAAAAAAAAAAAAAATTTTAAATAAGAAATATTTTACTATATAAATCGGAATCATCTTTTAAAAACTTCCTTTCATTAACTTCTAATAAAAGTCGCACAAAACATTGTAACACCGGGTTGGTATGATAGTGCTCAAGAAGTATGTAACCAATGTATGACATGTAACCTGAAATAATAACTGCTCTTTTCAATAAAGAAAAAAAATAATAAAAAAAATCTAAAAAAATTAAAAGCACTAATAATTACCATTATCCCAGTTTTCAAACGATCTCGGTAGTGAGCTTTTCTGTATTCTTTGATAAAACAAAACTCCCAAAATAAGACCGTATATAATACGAAGGAATGATGAAAATATCCCAATAAAGATGTTAAAATAAAACAAAAAGAATGCAGCCCCATGAAAGATCCTCCTAAAATAGATAAAATTAATTAAACTATAAAAGAACATAAACTAAAACACATAAACCTTTATTTTGTCTTATTGATGTTTTATGCAGTTTATAACATTAAAAACATAAAATGCATTTTAAATAAAACGTGTTTACCATCAGTGTGAATGGGGTATAAAACGCCTAAATTTTTTATTATTTAGTGTATGGACGAGACGAGACAAGACAGAATAAGACAAAGAAAACAAAAGCCAGGATTTAGCGGCAGCCATAAATAGCCATATATAGGTGGCTTAAACCTTTAGAAAAACTGAAAAAAAACACAACCTTTCACTCCTAACTTTTATAATTTTATTTATCAAATTTTCATGAGCAAAAGAGCTGAAGACCATTTTATACTTAATTATCACCAAGTCAAACAGATTCATTGAAAAAACCTTTCTTTACCCATTTTAACAAGTTCTTTAATCATTTTAAAAAAATGACTAACGTCAAAAACTATAAAACACAAAAAACCATCATCATCACTAGGTTTTCTAAATCTATTATTCATTAACATCCGTGGCCGTCTTTTTCAAAGTTCACCAAACCTACTTGCTCTTTGTGAGACTAATTTAAGTTCAGCTGTCTCATCTTGTGATCTTAGTGTTGATAGTTATCTTCCTTTAATACTTAAAGACTCCAACAGTCACATGCTTGGTCTGGGCATTAACATTTGTAAGAATTCATCCATTTGACCATTAGTCCACAGACTATTCTTTTATGTGCTTTCGTTTAGCACCACTTAACTCTATCGCCTTTCTTTTTGCCTTCAAATGATTCTCCTTTCTCTTATAAACAACGTGCAAAATCATAGTCGGACTTCAATCATTTATCACATCGTTGTAATGTTGCTTCTCTTACTCTTTTCTATAAATGCTAGAGAGGTGCTAGATAGATAGGTGCTAGATAGATAGTGCTATAAATGCTAGAGAGGTGCTATAAATGCTAGAGAGGTGCTAGATAGATAGGTGCTAGATAGATAGTGCTATAAATGCTATAAATGCTAGAGAGGTGCTATAAATGCTAGAGAAGTGCTAGATAGATAGGTGCTAGATAGATAGTTCTATAAATGCTATAAATGCTAGAGAGGTGCTATAAATGCTAGAGAGGTGCTAGATAGATAGGTGCTAGATAGATAGTGCTATAAATGCTATAAATGCTAGAGAGGTGCTATAAATGCTAGAGAGGTGCTAGATAGATAGGTGCTAGATAGATAGTGCTATAAATGCTAGAGAGGTGCTATAAATGCTAGAGAGGTGCTAGATAGATAGGTGCTAGATAGATAGTGCTATAAATGCTAGAGAGGTGCTATAAATGCTAGAGAGGTGCTAGATAGATAGGTGCTAGATAGATGGTGCTATAAATGCTATAAATGCTAGAGAGGTGCTAGATAGATAGTGCTACAAATGCTACAAATGCTAGAGAGGTGCTATAAATGCTAGAGAGGTGCTAGATAGATAGGTGCTGCTCTAAAGAGTTTGCATCTCTTGTGCCCAAGGTTGCAAAAACACCTTTTTTTTTGTGAAAAAAAAAAAAAAAAAAAAAAAACAACCAAAAACCATGGATTTATTTAAAACCACCACAAAAACCACGGTTTTTTTGGTTTAAACTCCTTTTTTAAAAAAAAACCATGTTTAGTCAACTTTTTCAATTAAAAAAAAGCATTAGTCATCCTACTTAAGTAAATTATATTTTCTATTAATATCAATAATTTCTATATTAATACTGCTGTAATTCATCAACCAATACATTATTATTTGATGTTCTGTATATAAAAACAAACTTTGTCGCTTTTTTAACTTTCATCTTGTTTTTTAACTTGGAATGAACAAGCCTAAAAGTCAAAAGTCACTCTTTCAATTCCAGCACTAGAAGCTGGTGTTTTCAACAAACCTTCAATATCCATGATAATGTTGCAGTCCAAAGATTTTAGAGAATTTAGAGATTTTAGATCTCCACCATTCTAGTGATGATATATTTTTTAAAATAGATTATATATGTATAGTTGTAAAAATAGTTTTTATCAAGATGTTTATCAGCTCTTAAAAAATTTCAACTGTGTCACTTATTTTTGTTTGATCCTTTGTAACTTACCTAGAGCAACTCCAATTGGTTTTAATATTTTCAACAAAAAATTAGTTTGGTTTAAATTGATATTTTTTTTCGACTAGTTTAAACCAGTTGGTTTAAACCTATCAACCCTGTAAACCTATCAAACCTATCAAACCTATTAAACCTATCAACCCTGCTTGTGCCATCTACTAAAATTCATTCTCATGTTTCTTGTCATTAAGTTTCACCTTTTTACTGTGACTGTTCCTAAGTGCTCTAAAAATTCTAAACTCCTCTAGTTTTTTCCTTTGATCATTAGTCTTTTGGAATTTACTTCCTTCATCTTGTTTTTTCCCATTAAAAATATTTTAGAACAATACATTGCTGGAAATCAATTTTTTCTTTAACAATAACCAATTGTTTCTATAACAATAAAATAGTGCCATTTAATCAAACGTAACTTTTAAACTAAAGAAGAGGTTGATATAAAACATATCCTTCAAAAGTTGTACCATTGAATCACACACTTTTTTTAGAAATGTAATGTAGCGGATAAGCCTTGGACTCTTTTTAACTCATGCGTTTCAAAAACTTAAATGTGAGACAAAATCAAAAAAAATTATTGAAAAAATAAATTACATATATATACTTATAAAGATTAAAAATTCAAATTATTTGGAAAGAAATTGTAAAATATAAATTACTTTAAAATTCAGCCTTGACTACACAGCCTGCAACTACACAACAGTACAAATTGTAATTAGTTCAAAAAACTGTGTAATGATTTATATAAAAGATTGAAAAATGGAATTCTTAAATCTGGAAATAAGATGGGCATGCTGGAGCTGAAATATTTTTTAAAATCCTAATTATATTACACTCAACTGACTTGTTGATTTAAATAATTAGTTGATCAATTGACTTGATATTTCAATTAATTATATAATATAAATATGAGAAATAAAATTCAAGATAACTATTTATAATAAATACCTATTGTCAACAGCCAACACATCTTTTTCAATCAATAAAATGAACCTAGCAAGTAATCTTTGAAGAAGTATAATAACACATCCAATTAAAATTGTAGGCCTGAAAAAATATTATTTGCATGCATTTACTTTGCACAAAAACAAGTAAAAATAACTATTAAAATACAAAATTAAGTAAAAACTCTTGTTTCAATTTGTAATATCTACACACACACACACACACACACACACACACACACACACACACACACACACACACACACACACACACACACACACACACACATACATACACACACACACACACACATATATATATATACATATATATATATATATATATATATATATATATACATATATATATAATATATATATATATATATATATATATATATATATATATATACATATATATATATACATATATATATATACATAAACATATATAAACATACATAATATATATATATATATATATATATATATAAGCCCAAAAATTTTAATGTCACGTGACTTTAAAGGTCCCCGCCGGTCAAATTTGTGCACAAAAATGTATCTAATGTTAGGGGTTTGGCGGGGACCTTTAAAATCAACTCAGAAAGCCAAATTTTCTTTTATATGGTATATTTTGGACTATTTATTTTTAATAGGGTAGGACCAAAATAAAATATGGTGGTATTTATTCCACATAGTGTGGAGAAAGTGACAAAAAAAACCGAATTTTTACATAAAATGACGCACCACTATGTATAACTGATGCTTGTTTATTCTCCATATTTAGGCCGAATTTTGAAAATTAATGTTAGGACTAAGCATTAATGTTTATATTGAAGGGGCATGTCAATAGCTATCTGCTCCCCTCACCCTATTTTTGGAGATGTCTCCCCCCCCATCCTTTATTTTTTGGAGACGGGGGGTGGGGGGAATGCAAATTTATTTAAATTTTATTGTAAATCATATTATTTAAAATCACTTTATTTTCTTTAGAAAAAAAGACAATACAAATATTAAATTATGATAACATTTTAATTCCTGAATATTTTGGAATTTTTATTGGTTTCTGTGGTAATTTTATAAACTAACAAACTGTCATATTTGCGGAAGACATATAGTCGTAATTTTAAATTCTCTGCTCTGTGTTCTGTGTATCTGGTGTATCCATCACATTCTATATAAGGTATACTATCTGTGGTTATATACAAAATTGTTATTGTAAAATAAATGTCATTTAATCAAAGAATGAATATCAATTGTTTTCTTTAATAAAATTACTGTTTAGAAACCAAAATGCCAAGATCCACAAGACTTAAAACAAAGGCTTATCTTTTTGAAGAAGAGGATCTTAAAGAAAACCTACCAGAAATAATGTTTTCAACAAATAAAGACATTATTCTCTAATTTCAGTTTAGAAGATCTGGAGACAAAAAAACTCCAACAAAAAAGCAGATTGCTTGTACCATTGGTCATCAAACAGCAAAGTGTTCTGGTCTTGGTAGCTGTCCAGAAAACTGAATTATGTTTGCAGTTAAGAAACCTTGGATAGACTGAGGATACGAAGATGGGATACTCATTGACCCATTTATAAGGTAGGTTAAACAAAATTTAATTCATATTTAAGGGACAGGTTACCATAAAATACACTACAAAAATTTTGGACAATATAATATTTTCTAAAACAGTTATATATATTATCTAGACAAGATTTCAAAAAAAAAGGAAATAAGATTTTCTGGATTGCTAAACCAAATATTCAAAATACTCTAAAGAAGACTAGCCTTAATAAAGACTCATATCGTACTGATATGAAATTTTTGAGAGATCAAAAAGCCAGACGTAAAATGACTCTGGATAAAAAAGACAAGCTATATAACCAGAGAATTGAGGAGAGAACAGAGAAGATTGAAACATACACAGTTAGTACATAGTGTTGAACAGTTTTCTCAGAGAGATGATTTGACTACAGAGCTTCAGTTTTCTTCTGAAACTAGTGATATAAGGACTCAGATTGTTTTTTTGATTTCGAACAGCCAGGTCCAAGTAATCATATGCCGCAGTTAGCCAAGAATTTTGTACAAGATATTGCCATGACTTCAGTTTCCAAAAATATTTCCTCCAGAGATTTGTTGCATGTTTGTACAGATTTGGTTGTTAGCTCCGGTGGTAATGTTGAATAATTTTTACTTGTCTCAATCAACTATTTGGCGAGCACAAAAGAAAACCATCCATCAAAATGCTGCACAGCACAAAAGGGAGGTTAAAAAAGCTGCTGAGAAAGCACTTTTCCCCATAATAGCTCACTTTGATGGAAAAATTATAGAAGATTTCACTAATGGAAAAAAAGAAAAAAGTGACAGGTTTGCTGTTTTAGCTAATATTAATGGAGGCATTAAGCTTCTTAAAATTCCAGCTATGGAGCATGGAACTGGAGCTGCTCAGTATGAAGCTTTGAATAATGTACTGGAAGATTATGGAATATGTGACGATGTGAAGGGATTATGTTTTGACACAACTACCTCAAATACTGGAAGACATTCAGGAACCAATATTAGGTTCAGTCAAAGACAGAAATCTATTTTGTAAGAGCTTGCCTGCAGAAGGCATATATATGAGCTTCATTTTAAACATTTCTGGGAGGAAATTACCTTAGGCAAAACAGCAGCTCCAGAAGATTTAATGTTTAAACGGTTTCAGACAAACTGGAATGGCATCAAGGAAACTGTTGATCCTTCCAATTTAATAAGGTTTGATATCAATTCCATCAGCAATACTTTCTTGGCTACCCAGATTGAGGAAACTATCCAGTTTTGCAAGGATGCATTAAACACTGATATATTTCCCAGAGGGGATTATAGGGAGTTATTGGAACTTACCCTGATGTATCTGCATCCTGAAATATTTTTTAAAATTCGAGCTCCAGACTGTGTCTCTCATGCTAGGTTCATGTCAAAAGCCATTTACTACTTGAAGATTCAGATATTGAGTACACATCTGCCCTATGATTTGACTGTTTCCCAAAAGAAAGAGTTAAAGGCAATGGCAGAATTTATCTTGATTTTCTATTCTGTCTGGTTTCTGAGAACCTCATTACCCTCAGCTGCACCATTTCAGGATGTAAAAGTTTATTGGCAATTGGTGCAGTACAAAGAACATGTAGAGAAACACGACGCTGATTCCAAGAGAGTTCTAAACGGAATCAAAAGCACAATGATGTCAATGGAGAGACACACCTGGCACTTAGATGAAACTTTAGTTCCACTTGCTCTCCTAGACCCTGACCTTTCTAATGTGGAGAGAGAAAACATTGCAAAAACATTATTCTCCAAACCAGTTCCTGATCATTTTCAGCATTCAGAGAAGTCAAACTTGATAAAAGAGTTAAATTTTAAACAAGAAGTGTCATCAGGACTTACTCGATTAATCGGAGAGAACTCTTGGTTCATCTTCAGTTTACTAAACCTGACAAGAATGGAGGACAAACTTTGGTTAAACTCTCCTGCTCCATTGTGGTGCTATGTTGACCAGTTCAAAACATTCTCAAATTTTGTTAGTAAACTTGAGAATGTTTTGAACTGGTCAACATAGCACCACAGAACTATCATTCACTACCCTTTCAGAACTATCCTTCACTACGTAGTGAACGATAGTTCTGAAAGGGCTGTAAAACTTGTATTAGAGTTTGTGAACAATGTTCACAATGAGGATGATTGCCAAGAACTTTTACTAGCTGTGCAGCAAAGACGAGATCAGCTCCATGGGTCAGGAACCAAGGAACAATTGCAGCGTATGAAGCAGTATGCAAGAAGAGAAAAAAAGTAACATGATTTAATCATTGCATTATATTTTATTATGTTTACATATCACGATTTTAATATTTATATTGCCAAGTGAAGTATTTTTTTTTAAAGAAAATAAAGTGATTTTAAATAATATGATTTACAATAAAATTTAAATAAATTTGCTTGACCCCCCCATAAATAAGTTTGCTTGCCCCCTTCTTCCTGTCAATAAGTTTGATATGTTTTTGTGCACAAATTTCACCGACGGGGACCTTTAAACGTGACATTAAAATTTTTGGGCTTAAAATTATTTTTATATTGGTGGTCAACCATTCCAGGTAGGACCAACTTGATTTTCAAAAATTCGTCAAATATGAATCACCCTAATATATATATATATATATATATATATATATATATATATATATATATATATATATATATATATATATATATATATATATATATATATATATATATATATATATATAAAATATAATTAATATTAATTAGTATTGTAATAACTAATATTAAATAGAATTCATAAAAAATAAATAAAAATAAAAACATGAATTTTTATTACCAAAGTGAGATAATTTGCTTTAGAAGAAATGAATTTTCCTTATATACAATCGGAAGGAATATTTGTGTGGTAATGATCATTAGAATAACAAAAAACAGTATAAATATAATAATGAAACCTAAATAGTTAGAAATAATTAGAAACAATAATAATTATAAAAAATAATACTACATAAGCATTAAAAATAAATTTAAAACTTACCCCATATTGAATAAGCAACCTGATACCCTGCAAAATTCATGCTTGCAACCTAAATAAACTTTGCTTATATAAGAATGTACACACCACAATACATACACACATATATATATATATATATATATATATATATATATATATATATATATATATATATATATATATATATATATATATATGTATTGTGCATTAAAAAAAAAAAAAAAAAAAAAAAAAAAAGGATGCTGGTTAAAGCTTCTTTTTTGTAAAAATAGCAACTAATGAAATAAAAGAAATATATAAAAAAGAAATTATAAAATTAAATCATAAAATAGAAACTAAAGAAAATTTTGAACTTTTTTTTTTATTTATTTGCAAGAAAAGTTTGCATATTAGTGACATACTAAAACATACCATTTGTATATATAAACATGCAATTGTAAATTTAAATCTTACAAAAAGAAATTTTATTATTTATTACTTTAAAGTTACTTTCTTCATTGAAAATTACTTGCTTCCACTTTTCACCACCCAAATTTTTTTTCACTACCTAAATTTCTCCTTACACAACCTTAACATAGTGATATCTGACTGTCAACACATTTTTAAAATAAACTCTAATTTTTTTTCTCATCTAAATGTTTCTTTTTATTTACTTACGAATATTTAAATAATAAAAGATAAATCGTTCAAAAAATAAAAGCACAGTAAAATATTCTTTTTTTTTAAACATAAAAAAGTTTGTTTAAGAATTAAAAAAAAAAAAATTATAATATTCAATAACAAATTCACTTTTTGTTTTTATTAGATTAATTTTGTTATTATCTTATTATTCTTTTATTAAATTAGTTTTGTTACTTTTGCATCAGTTCAGTTTTGTTAATTTTTTATTTAATTAGTTTTGTTATTTTTTCATTAGTTCAGTTTTGTTTAATTTTTATTAAATAAGTTTTATTATTTTTTTATTTATTTTTATCAAAAGATTATAAAAAATATACTAAAATGTTGATTAAAGTCCTAATGGTCTTCATTTATATATACATAATATTTATATATTAATAAAATAATATAAATATAACAAAATAAAGACCACATAGTGCTAATATATAAATAAAACCACACAAAAAACAAAGCATTATTATTTTTAAGTTTTAAGAAGGTAATTACTGGCAATTAATAAAAATCTGCAAATAAAGCAAAGAAAAAAAATAAACAGAAATGAACACAGCATTTATTACTGTAGAAAGCTGTATGTATAAAATATGTACTATATAAAACCTTTTTTTTAAAATTTTGTTGAAATTTTCTTATATATATATAAATATAAAAAATCAATCAAGAGCAGAAAATTTGGTTTTATCATTTTAGATAAATGCTAATATAATTCTAGTCAAAACTTTTTTAAATTTATTTAATAAAAACATCTCAAAAGATCATTTCATAAATGTTATTATACCAAAATGTAAAGAAAATCATAAAAGCGTAAAAGTTAGCTAAAATTGTCCAAACGTCTGCAATATTATTAGTTTGCACAACAGCTAAACTTTATCTAACACTAATACTATTCCTTCACAATGTGATTGCTGACAAATTTATTCATGCCCACCTACTGCAAAATGTTTAAGTAAAAAGTTATTTACGCTCGCAATGTCAAAATATGTTAATAGAGATATGATACTACAAGGTGCAGAAAAAAACATTTAAAGGTGGATGATACAAACATAAACCTAATTATCTTTATGAATTTAATATCGCTTTAAGATTTTTAATTTATTATTATTAATTTTTTATTAATAGTTTTATAAAATAAGAACTTGAGAAAGTAATCAAGAAATATGTGAATTTTTATTATTTAAATATGATATTATGAATGAATTGAAGTAATCAATTAAAACCTCTCTAGTATTAACCTATTTCTCAGGTCAGGACCAAGCACTTTAATTGCGATGCTACCACTAAGCAGATTTACGATTTATTTTTATTCAAGGTTTACAAGCTCATAATCAAAGTTTTTTTTTTCCTAAGGAAGTTGATACAGCAAAAGTGCCTTACCTGCCCAACATATGATAGTTTAATGTCTAAGACATTAAACTATCTTATATTGGGCCAGTGAGACCTGCCCAACATACGATAGTTTAATTTATAAAAATGATAATTAAAGAACATAATGAAGCAAATGAAGTTGGTTTGTATCTAAAGTTAAAAAAAAAATAAATCAAAATATATCTTTATAAATAAAGAGCAAATCTAATTTAATTTTTATACTTTGATACAACACAGTATGCAGCTAGTTAACGATTTTTTTGTTTTTCAAATATTAAGTTGCTATGAAGTTGCATATAAGCATTTTGTTATAGGGTTTGCACTTATAATTGTTCATTTAATTTAAGTATTATACTTTAATTAAATCTACTCAATTTAAGTATATGAAGTAAAATGAAAAAATCTTGATTTTTCTTTTTTCTTTTGTTTTTCTGATCAGTTAATAATAACGATAATAAAGAAGAAAAAAAGTTACAAGCAAGTTTAATTGGATTTTAATTATTCATAAATATTTCTAACATAAAATAAAAGTTTAACGTTTTAAGTTTTATTAGATTAATTTTATTTAAATTTAGAAAAATCTTATTCATTTTATCAAATATATTAGAAATATGTTCGAAAGTAGAATAAAACTTTAAATTTTAAAATTAATTTTAGATTATATAAAGATTTGTTTTAAATTTTAAACTACTTTTTTTTATGAAACCATTCAAAACAATAATATTATTTATTTATTAGCAATAATTCAAGAGACCACTCATCATCAGACAAATAAACTAAATATTTTTACAAAAAAAGTTTCAAATAACTTGTTAAAAAAAAAAAATTGCATAAACAAAAATTTTTGATCGAAATAAAATTGGTTTCAAAAATCTGAGTTAAAATATTGACTGCCATCCAAATTCATTACAATAAATTTGGTGAACCAGTCTCTCAGTATTGTATCTCTAAAGCTTTACTGATTTTTCTTTTTAATTTATTAGAAGTCAATGCTGAAAATTTCGAAAAATAGTCCAGTAAATGTTTCCCTGACAAACTTTCTTATGGTTTAATGCACCAGAATGACTCCATTTTCTGTCATGAATCAACCAATGTTTTAAAAATCTAGAGGACATTTCCTAACCATTTTCACCAACATAAGGTTTGCTGAAGCATGGCAATGCATTTATTATTACTTGTTAATACTATTTCTAGAAAAGAATTAGAGAGCAGCTCCAAAATTTTGGTAAAATATTTAGTTTAATAGTCATATGATGAAACTATCTAGTGGTCATGAAACTATCTAGTGGTCATGAAACTATCTAGTGGTCTCGAAACATTAATAAACAAATAATATAATAGTTGTGGATGTCTCCAGAAAAAGAATTAATTTTAAAAATCTATTACCTTTACTAATTTATTTTCATTCTTTTTTGAGAATATATTCAAGTCTTCATTATTTTATTAAAGTTGTCTTTAACATTGTTTTGATGAAGTGTTTGAGATGATAAATATTTTTCTTGAATAGATATTTTTAAGGATATGATTTATTTGTTATGTAGCTGAAATTAATAGAAGATTGGATATTTTTGTTCCAGATATTTTTCTTAACTTTAGGCTCATTGGAACTAAGGTTTGTTGAAACTAAGAGTATATATATATATATATATATATATATATATATATATATATATATATATATATATATATATATATATATATATATATATATATATATATATATATCCTTATATCGTAGTTGAAAAAGACTTTTAATGTAAAAAAAGTCTCTTTCAACTACAATTTTGCTACTTCGACAAAAAAGGTACATTTTATTGTCGTCAAAATGTCTAAGTAATTAAATTAATGTGGAAGTACATTAAATTTTATTGTTTTTTAAAAAAACTGCAATAATAATGACTAGAAAGTTTTTTTTAATTATTGGCGCTTTTGTTGTTGTTTTATTAAAATATATTTTTAAAACATGCGCGGAGTGTTGCTACATCGACTATCTTATAGCCTGCTGCTACAAGGGAGTGTTGCTACAGCAACTATCTTATAGCCTAACTCGCAATGGTGTATTGCTACATCAACTATCTTATAGCCTGACTTGCAATGGAGTGCTGCTACATCGAATGACAAATAGCCTGACTCGCAAGGGAGTGCTGCTAAATTGACTGAGGGTCTGAAGGTTTGGTTAAGGCAGGCAGTCTATCATTTAAAATTAAAAAAAAAAATTATTCAAGTTTTTAAATTTTTTCTGGTCTGGTTTATTAGCGCTCTCTTAAAAACTACAGTTTATGAAAAAAACTTTTCGACTACCATTAAAATGATTACAAAATGTAATCATCCATCATAAAAAGGTTTTTATGATGGATGATTACATTTTACTGTTCAACTTGCTGAGCAGACAAGCTGTATAACTTTTTCAATTCGTTTTATTTATGAGTTCTTATATCTAAAAAATATAATTTTTTAATTTACTTTTTATTGTTTTTTTGATTAAATACTAATAATATTTTTTCAATAATTAATAACAACTACCTTAAATATATAAAATTACTCAAAAAGATTATATCAATTTATTTATAACTTTAGTTTAAGTTCTTGATAAAAGTATGTTGTCTTTACACATTGCTACCATTTTAAAACATCTAATTTAAATCACTAATAGTAAAGGTAGAATAAAATTAGATTGCTCTCTATTATTTCCTTACGCTTTATTTTATATAAGTTTAAGAAAGAAAACTCAAACTTCAACTTTTATTATATTAGGCACCATTTTTACAAACTCCTTTGTTGCTTAATTATGTCTGATAATTTAAAAAATAAAATTATTAGACTTTGTTGAAATGAAAGAAACCAGGTAGGCTATGAACTGAACCGCCATCAAAATGAAAGAGATGCGCCTAGGCGAGCTGAGATAAACCGTTGTTGAAAAGAAAGAAATGAACCCAGGCAAACTGAGATGAACTATCGTCTAATGGAAAGAGATGAACAGAGGCGAGCTGAAACAAATTGTAGTTAATATGAAAGAAATCAGGCTAGGCT